TCATTAGTTTACTTTTTATTTTTTTAAACAGCTCTCAGCTAACTAAATTTCCTTTCTCAATCACTTTAAAAATAATCTAGCTGTACTTTTAACTATTTAAGTGCAAAATAAACAAGTTTCAAACATTTCTGTATACCTGCCAACATTTCAGAGGGACACTTTTATTTTAGGGGTGTGAGTGTGGCAGGGAGCGGGGTTGTTTTGCAAATATTTAGGGAACGTACTAATAACAATTGGTAATTAAGAAGAAGAACAATGTATCTTATTTACAGAGACTGGTTTCTAAACACATTTATTGTAGATTAATGATAAATTACTGTAAGTGTTATTGCTGTTGAGCAATGTGGTCAGGCACACCAACAATATAGATCCCCTAGAGAAAAAGAACATTAGGATAGAAAAGAGGGACAGACGGACTTGGGCACATAAGAGGTATTGACTGTCCCTCCTAAAGAGGGACACTTGGGGGGTATGTCTCTCTGACACTGTAATCAAATGAATTGATTATTATAATATATTATATTCATCGACGGTAGATATAAATACAAGTAATCAGTTATGAATTTATTGTCCCCACCTTTTTGTGGCATTTGTATATGCAACTGTAAGTCTCTTTTTTGTTTGCTGTGAATTCAATCAGTACAAAAAACAGATTACCGACATCATTATGAATAGGGACCATTACCCTCATTGATACAAGCTGCTGTAAAAGGCAGGATGCAGGGTTCTCATCCAGAAAACATATGAAAAAGCACACCAGAATTCCTCAAAGTCCAGCTGCACAAGCTGTCTGAACATACCAGTAATTTCCTTATTACAATTCTTCAGCCAAGCTCCCAGTTGCAACTTCAAATCTCTATATCCTGTTTTTCACTAATCCATGTCGCCTCTGCTGACAAATACTGACAGAGACCCAAAATCTTCCAGAGTCATAAAAAGTAGCAATCTTCAATCCAATCCAATGTCTAGTTACATGGGATGTATTGAGAATTTAGTTTTAAACCTTGCATCGCTGGCATCCTTCACTGATAGTGTAGGCTAGAAAGCCTGACAAGTGATCTGTGGTGCGTGCCATGGCAGTCTGTTGTCTGATCTTTTTCACCTTGCAGGCTATGCCATTCCAGTCACCATTTGCCTTGTATCTGATCTGGCTTTGCACTATTTTTCAGGACTGATTGAAAGCCAAGATAGCTCAATACGGAAGAGTAGGGAGGTGCTCTATAGGGCTTATGTGCAGGCTGCAACTGCAGCCTGTGGTACCTTTCTGGGGTTGTTTACAGCACAATCTCTTGTTTTTAAACATTAACATTCAATACATGTGATAATTGTACAAGGCCCGATGTGTGTCTATTTTACACTTTTTGCAAAAATTAAGAATACCATTTGACGGAATGTTGTTTGTGTTCAATAAAAGTAATTAATATAGTAATTATGCTTTTGTGCTTTATATGTAAAAAACACAAACAAATAAATTAGGATATAATGTAACTGGGAGCAGTCAAATCCACCTGCCTCACTTTTCCAGAAGCTTAAAATGTTTGGTGTGTCCGAGTGTTTAACCGAGCTGTACAGCAATAAAACGCACACTATCAGCGCCATTAACCAATACACATTTCCATCATAGTTAAGGTTATGGAAGCCTTTGGGGAAAGTGGTTCAATTTTTTTTACTTTCATTTGACAAAAAGCAGGAATCTCCTGACATCAAATGCTGATTAACTATAACCATGGTCACACCACCAGCTGCACCCCTTAAATAAAACAGTCACCCTTTAGCCATTAGAATTGTTGGAATTATAAGTATTTTATGAGCTTCCTTCTTACTGAGAAACAGCCAAAATAAAAATGGAACATCTCATTATGTTGCAGAACACGTTTAAATATTAATGTACAAATGTCTGTGCGTGCCCACTCATCGTGTTACTGATGTTAATTCTAATATAGTCACCAAGCAAACTCATTTCTCTAAATATCAACCTGGCTGTGTGGCCTACTTATTAAAATAATTCAAAGTGCATCTGCTACTAGTGTGTATGGTAAGAAATATTAAACTGTTGTTTAGGACTTCAGTTCCCACGCCTAACGTTTACTACTAGGCCTCTCTCCAACCCGTAATTAAAGATAGCTTAGAAGTTATTGCCCCAACTGCAGTATTGCAAAGTGGCAGGTTTGGCTCCTGGTAGAGTAAACCCGTCTTCCCTAAGGTCGATAAAATGTGTAAGATAAAGGTGTGTAAGGGTAACGCTGAAACCTCATTGCCAGGATAACACTGAAACCTCATTGCCAACATGAAAACAAGCAAAACGAACGATTATTCACTAACAGAATACTCCAGACACACTTGCTGACATGCTTTATGTGTGAACAATGTGCTCTTTTTTTTCATATTACAAAAAATGGCAGGTTTCAATAGAATCTCAGACTGTTATAAATTAACATTGTTACACCCCTGTGGCTGTCAGACAACCGGTCCTGTTACTTCCTGGTTTGTTTAGCTCAGTGGAGATAAACTCAAGAGGAAGCAATTTCCCAGAGGAAGCAATTGCCTTGCAAAGACTTCTCATTGAGCTGCATTGGGAAGGCTGTGATTGGCCAGAAACAGAAAGTCTGGGGGGGAGTTAAAGGGGACGGCTTTCAAAGGGTGGATAAAGACTCGTTGAAGTCTAAATATTGCCTTTCCATTTCTAGTAAATCTGCATTGGATTAACCATTAAGTGCCATCTGTTTTTTGATACTTATATTTAAATAGTTTGATATAATTTTTCTCATCAAATGAAGCTCTCCCCAAAAGTGCTTACACGTAACACTGGGCTCAACAAATCCCAATGACCTGACCCAACTTAATACACACTTTAAACTTTTCTGAGCCTTTCTAAACAGAGCGCAGGTTTGTGAATGAAAGCAATAGTTAATGAATTATAGATCCAGCGAGGAGCAGGCTGATTAGCATACATTAAAACAGACTGTTGACAGAAGGAGAAAGATGGGCTTGGAGGCTGAAAGGAGAAATTGCTCCCCAGGCTGATATAGATCGTACACACTGCAAATACCACCGCAATGAAACGTGCTTCAGAAACCCCTCAGACAATCAATGCTTTGCTCCAATACGGAGAGATAGATTGTAGGAAGACAAGTAACTATACACTTTCAAAAGGTTCTGTAGCAGCGGAGGGAAAACGAGCGTGTTTTTTCCACTAAACGCCATATTGTAGCGAATTAAGATCCAAATGACTAAACTAAGGATAAAACAGTCAAGCTGTGATTAGAAATAAGCTGGATAATTTTTTCGAAATCATCCGGTTTAGCCTCAGTTTTGAAATTAATTTGTTAAACCACCACTATTCCATAAATTATGTCAAGATTTCAGAGTTTAGCAGTGAGTTACAGAGAACTGCCAATTGGCAGGGTTTTTTAATAAACGGGGAAAATTATCATATTTTAGGCAAAAATGAGCTAGCTCAAAATTGGCTTTTTTGCCCTAAAATTTGAAATTCCCTGGTTTATTCCCAACAATTTTCAATTTAGTGGATAACCCCCAGGTTCCCCCTAAATTTATAGCATGCTCCTCCAACTGTTTAAAATTCTCACTCACTTACCTCGTAATTCCCTTTATATTCTACCAATATCTGCAACTCTCTGTTTCCTTATTTAGCCATCGCTTCCAAATTTCCCCTGCTACCTCTTGTCTCAAATCCCCACGGTATCCTTTAGATTGTAAGCTCACGGGCTATCTACCTATGCACTTTGTATAAGAGAGCTTAAATTGCAAGATTTCAGTTTAAGGGGGGGGCCCTTTCTACCGTTTGTATTTGTGTGTGTATACAGGTGATACTCGAACAAATTAGAATATCGTGCAAAAGTTAATTTATTTCAGTAATGCAATGGCGTAAAAGGGGAAACTAATATATGAGATAGACGCATTACATGCAAAGCAAGATAGTTCAAGCTGTGATTTGTCATAAGTGCGATGATTATGGCTTAAAGCTCATGAAAACCCCAAATCCACAATCTCAGTAAATTAGAATATTACATGCAATCAATAAAACAAGGAGTATACATTGAACAATATCGTACCTCTGAAACGTATAAGCATGCATATGGACTCAGTACTTGGTTTGGGCCCCTTTTGCATCAATTACTGCCTCAATGCGGCGTGGCATGGAAGCTATCAGCCCGTGGCACTGCTGAGGTTTTATGGAAGACCAGGATGCTTCAATAGCGGCCTTCAGCTCTTCTGCATTGTTCGGTCTCATGTCTCTCATCTTTCTCTTGGCAATGCCCCATAGATTCTCTATGGGGTTCAGGTCAGGCGAGTTTGCTGGCCAATCAAGCACAGTAATCCTACGGTCATTGAACCAGGCTTTGGTGCTTTTTCCTGCTGGAAAATTAAGTCAGCATCCCCATAAAGCTCGTCTGCGGAAGGAAGCATGAAGTGCTCCAAAATCTCCTGGTAGATGGCTGTGTTGACCCTGGACTTAATGAAGCACAGTGCACCAACACCAGCAGATGACATGCCTCCCCAAATCAACACAGACTGTGGAAACTTCACACTGGACTTCAAGCATCTTGCAGTGTGTGCCTCTCCATTCTGCCTCCAGTCTCTGGGTCCTTGGTTTCCAAATGAGATGCAAAAGTTGCTCTCATCAGAAAAGAGGACTTTGGACCACTGAGCAACAGACCAGGTCTGTTTTTCTTTAGCCCAGGTAAGACGCTTCTGATGTTGTTTGTTGTTCAGACGTGGCTTGAAAAGAGGAATACGACATCTGAAGTCCATGTCCAGGATCCGTCTGTGTGGTGGCTCTTGATGCACTGACTCCAGCCTCAGTCCACTCCTTGTGAAAGTCCCCAACACTTTTGAATGGCTTTTCCTGACAATCCTCTCCAGGCTGTGGTAATCCCTGCTGCTTGTGCACCTTTTTCTTCCACACTTTTCCCTTTCACATAACTTTCTATTAATGTGCTTTGATACAGCACTTTGGGAACATCCAACTTCCTTCGCAATTACCTTGTGAAAGCTTTTGCCTGTCGCTCTCTGGTTTCTAGTTTCGCCAAAAAGGCGTTGAGGATTGCGGTCAGTCTTGTCATGACAATGACAGTCTCCCCTCCGCAGCCGTCATGGCCACACGTGGTGTCCACCATTGTGTGGGCCTGAGGAGCTGGGGGTAGCCTGTAGGGCTCCGCCATCCGTGTCAGCTGTGGCTCCTGTGTCTGGCAGGGTTGGACTGGGATCACCCCCACCGGTCCTAAGGGGGGGGGAGCGGGCGATCGGTGGCTCAGCGCCCCGGCGTAGAGGCGAGGAGAGCGGCCACCTCCCCCCATCCCCATCCCCCTGTAGGCCGCAGCGGGCCACCTCCATTACACGCTTGCGGGAAATACCGGTGTCAGTCGATTCGCCAGAGTGCCCTCAACCTGGGCAGCATATTCTGGCATCAAGGTAAGCATCGGATCCGTGGAAATTTCCCTGAAATCAGCAATGGCTTTGGGAGCTCCTCTGCCATGAGACTACTCCATTTGCAGGTCAGAGCGTTTAAACGAATATGTACTTACCTCAATCCAGTACATGGGGAAGCGCTGCTTGACACACCCCTGTGTGATGTCACGGAAGCCACTCCTAGATTAAATCAAAGAGAAGCCTTTGATTATAGCTTCTCTTATAGAAAATTGAAAGGTCTTAGAGTGCATGCGCACATGCTGGGCCTGCACGGGGAGGGGGAAAAGTGACTAAATGGAGTGGGAGGGAGATGGACAATTTAAAAAAAATTCCTATGGGATAGGGAGGCGGGAAGGCGCCGACTATTATTAACGGTCTCACGGCAAGGGTAGCATAGTTAAAAACTCTGCTCGTGTCACAAGCACAAGCTTAAAGGGCAAATGTGTCACTTCCACATGTCCCTTCCAGTTCTCATTGTTCCATGTTGTTCCAGCACCCACATTAACAAACATTTTGGGGTTGCAGGCATGACATGCACCAATCAAAATTACCATAAAGGCAATTTTCCTGGCCCTATCTACTGTGCCCTATTATGGTTTCTGTTCCCAGTAGACTTTAGTGCTGGCCTTGATTCTATGTGTTATTTTGTGGCATTGACCTTGGTTTTGTTACTGACTTTATCTTTAACCCTTTCCTGTGTTGTTTGCACAAACTCTGTATGTTGGGGTTTTACCTCATGTCAGAGTGCAACTTGTCCCCAGCACACAATTAAAAATATCTATGGATGTTCCTGTTTCAAGTTGGAAATACAATATTTTAGTAACAGTTATGCCACTGGTAATGATTATTCACTTTGCTTTATAAGTGGAATCATGAACCACTTGTCAGCTTCTATCATTTACACAAGAAATAAAGGCACGCCACATGCAAAGTAGGAACCCTGTCTTCTTCTCTAGGGTTCTGCTCTCTAAAGGCTAATTTAGCTGAATGCACACATGAGATAAATTTGCTATGACAACAACCTGAGAAGTTAGTATTCACTTAAACCAAAGGGATCCACACAAGCACCAACAATGGTGATACAATTATATACTGAGACCTGCAGGCACCACAATGCAAGAGTGTATTTTATGGAATATAATTTGCTGAGACTCCTCGAACAAAAACTCAAGAATCTATTTGACACAGCATCATGTGGAATATCCTACTATGTTGCAAACTGCAAGCATGGTTTTTAGTAAAATGCAGAACCATCCTGCAATAAAGTCAGGGTTGGATTAAGAGCCCATTGGGCCTGGTGCGGACAATTATGATAGGCATAATTACAGAATCTTATTGACAGAAAACACTAAAACAGTCATACCTCCCAAGCGTCATGTATCTGGTGGAGGTGGTGCTGGAGGGAAACTCACCGGATATAGCTATCAGAAAACACATACCCTATGCTAATTTCTCGCTTTCAACTTTCCAGTAAATCATACCCTCTAACAGCAGTGTCCAGTGAAGCAGGATTTCGGTTGGTGGGGTAAAAGGGTGGGCCACTGATGTGAATCACGTAACCAGAACCACTCAAAGAGACAAAGATGCCCAAAAAGGGGGCCTGTATACCTGCTGAATTGGAAGGCCAGCCTGGTGTTAACGCACATCAGGCTGCCTGCCAATCATGAAGGATGGCCAACAAAGGTCATGCTATGCAGACAGCACTCTGAGCTTGGCATTAATGCATCTAATAATGCGCTCAGTCCATGCTTTTTAAGAACTGTCCCCTAGCACTAGCTTGTCCACTCCTCTCCTTACCTTCATACTAGCCCAGAAGCTCCTGTTATACAGTCTGGGACAGAAACAATTGTATGTAGTAAGTGTAGAGGAATGGGAACATGCTACAGTGTTAGAGAGACTGAGGCAACAAGAACATTTGCATAGTGCACAAGGTCAGCTTTAGTTTTTTTTTACCTAAACTAATTTCATTGTCAGCCAGTCCACACAAGTTGTGTTCCCCTACATCCCTCTTAAGTTTCCATAATTAAGCAAGAGCATGTGAAGAGTAGTAAAAAAACAATTATTACATATTTTTAATGCATTATCTACATCCATCTAGCAATCTATCTGCATCCAATGTGGACCTGCCTTGCATGAAACGGCTGCAGTAAAATGACAGAAAGGACCATATGCCTAGTAGAAGGTTGATAGCTGTGGGGACAGAAAAGGAATGTTCTGTAGAATCCCTTCTAACAGGCTGTTCACATGTCTCTCCAGCTGAAATTCCGAGAGCTCCCAAGGCACCTTAGATGTTACTCAGTGCTGGGGATTCCCTGACAAGTCACTCGTGACTCATTATTGCAAGACTAACCTGACCAACCGTGGATACAAGTGTTCACAGATGAGTGCAGTTCAATGTATCTGCTTTCTTTGTGTTTTAGCTACTCTCGTCACTTGTTAAAAAACAGTTTCAGCCTCATGGGAGATTTATCGTCATTGTGATCTGTGTAAGACGCCACTCCCTAACACGTAGACAAAATCAGTAGAATAAAAAAATCTAATTACATATCGGGGCAGTGGTATTTTTTATGTAAGTTACTTTCGCAAGAGATCTGCGGGCAATTGCGGAAACCAGCAATGTCTTGCCCAAATCTTACATTTACATTAGCAGTTACTGAGTATTAAGTGACAAAATGCTAGTGATGTCAATTATAATGAGAACTAATGTCAATGGGACAATGAAAAGTCATTATTAGCTGCCCTTCCTCTCATTTTTATAACAATATTAAGTAGTCTTAAAATTGAAAGGGGAACCATCACTTACCCAAGATTTTAATACCATGTTGACATATCCCCTCATAGTTAATAAATTTGGGTTTGTGTGGTTTAAAACAAAATTAAATGAATATTAAACATATACATCCAAACATTTATCCTGGAGTGGACTGGTGCCTCTCCAATTTAAGTAGTCAAATCATTTATTAATGATTCAACGCCTTACTTTGGATCCACCAGGCTCTGCCCCCTGCCTCCTCTCAGTTGGAAGCTCTCAACTTAACTGGCAGTGCAGGGCTTAGCTCATTGGCTGAGTGTGGTCCCTCACTGCAGGGCTTAGCTTGGGAGAACGTCTCGCTCACGCTTCTAACTGACCGAAGGTGGGGTGCAATGCAGGTAAGAATTCAAACTGTTAGTAAATGGTTTGACCACTTATATTGAATGGGTACCAAAGGCTAGCTGTAATGGTTATGGTGGCGGGAGTGTTCCTTTAACACAAGTAACACATGAATTTTAATGTTTTATTCAAAACATTAGTGTAATTTCCCCAGTAGCGAAAGACAACCGCATATTCCAAAATAGAATGTCCCAATTAATGAATAACTGCAGCTGAATCGAACTTCCAGTTATAATATAGCAATATGATTTATGCTTTACAGACTAGATTGCAATGACAGCAACATGTAGCATTTGGTTCTTAGAAGGTTAATAGAAATTATCTTTATTAAAAGCTACCATGACAAATCCTCTGCCCACAATTTATAAAGTCAAAATGATGTGTTTTCTTAGGATAGTATTCCCATTCTATATTAATCTCTCAGCTTATTTTTTTTCACTTTATTTTTTATTTCCAGGATTTTATCCTACACTTTCATTCGCTGTAACTGTTTTGAAGACGTCTTTATTCCATGAAGGAATCTCGATTCATTTCAAAAGTTGATGACTAAGGTAGTGATTTCTTTTCCAGAGACCACATGGCTTTTTGGATGTTCTGCATGGCGCAATGTGAAAGCATTCCAGTAATTGACAAATCCATGTGACTCAGTTGATAATTATCACAGTTTGATTAGCTTGATGAAAAAAGGAGTTTCCAATTCCTCACACAATAATGAAAGATAGAACATATTATCTGCTACTACTGAACTGTATTATTCAGTACACAATGACCCTTGGGCTGGAGGGAGGAGGGGGGTCAGGGGGAAGCTATATTAAGACAAATGAAAATGGAGCACAATTCTTAAAAACTCTTGGTAATGGAAAGGACTAGCTCAAATGATTTAATGATTTCTTATACGTATCCCCTTAAGTACCAATGACATTGTTTCTCACCATCTCAAAATGTGGTCCCTCAACACTTTGTGTTGACATTTGATATTAACAGCCCTATAATTAAGACACTGCCTGTACCCCATGTCCAGTGTGACAGAATGCAGAATAGATTACCAGTGCCAATCTTCCAATTAATAAAGCAGTTATACTGTGAAATCACGCTATCCATCTTTTATTGCTTTCAGTTACATGGAACAGAAGCTCCCAACCCAAACTCAACCTGCTATTGCAAGTCTGTTATTATCAACGTATTGTGACTGGAATCAGAGGAAGCCCGGTGACATCGCACCATGTATTGAGTAAGCATGTCTTGTTGTCTTCCTAACTTCATACTATGTCTTATTGGGGATCCAGACAGAACCTGGACTGTGGCATGTCTTGGTCACTGGGTTGGGAACCACTGGTCTGAGAAGATAGAGTCATCAAGGATTTATTCACAAATCATTAATTGTATTAAATTGGTTTGGGTGTTCTGAGGGCTGGATTGGAAACCATGGACCTAGGTCTATCTTCCGACAGACCTAAAGTACAGACAATGCCTTATAAGAAGACTACTTTGCAGTCTTCTAATTGGCTGGCAATGCAATAAAAATTAAATGGTGCTAGAGTATTTTTGGCACATGTTTATGTTCATATACTAGGCCCGTCCGTCCCACCTACACATGAGGACTTCACAAGTGTCTGTTTCAAAGATCGGCATTTGTTGCAGGATATTTGTACATTTTTTATTCTATCAGGCAGGGAGTGAATGTGCTTCCTGGAAGAATGTTGAATTCACGGGTTCCTAATGTGGAATAAATTAATCGCTACAAAGGTGATACTGAAATATGAACCTCTGTGTA